ATAAGTGAGCTCGAGCTCGTTTGAAAAGCTCGAGTTCGAGATCGAGCTCGTTTGAAAAACTGTAGCTACGGATAGATTTTTTTATAAAATAAGCTTTCAAATATTATAAAAAAATAATATATATATATATCGAGTAGCTTGATAAGCTTTCGAGTCAAGCCAGGTTGAGCTCGAACTCGAGCTCGATTGTAGGCTCGAGCTCGAGCTCGAAGCTCGATAAGCTCGGCTCGCGAGCTCGTTAATGAGTCGAGTTCAAGCCGGCTCACAAGTCGGCTCGGCTCACTTACACCCCTAGTCGGAGTACATGCAGGTAATTTAAATTTAATTTTTAAGTATTTTGTGCCTTTTAATGCACTTGTATGATATTTGTTTGTTTTAAAACTTATTTATCAATTTTTGGTCCGTGTAATATCCCGAGACGTCACACTTGCTTATTAATTTGCTCGTCGGGGCCAATGCAGACATGTGCTTTTTAGCGCATTTTGCATGATGCATAGACATGTTCGTATGATGTGCGTGATACAATTGCATGATGATGGTGCATTTGTACATTGTGTTGGACCTACGAATACTACATTTGATGTTGTTTAGGATGCATATATGATTCATTTGCACATTGCATGTACGTTTTTTATGTTGTATTTGCATGTTGCGTGTATGTTTACATAATGCATTTGAATGTTATATGTATATTTGTATTGTACGCATAATGCATTCATATGTTGGATATTATACATGCATGTACGATCCTTTTGTATGTTGGGTGATGTGTTATATGTTGGTCGTATATATGCATGATGCATCTGTGTAGAATATTATGCATTGAGTATTATACACGCTTGTGCTTGGATGTTGGGTAGTATACTTGCGTAACACTTGTATATTGAAGAATGTACATGAATGATGCCCTTATGCATTTTTTAATATGAATGCATGCGGTTGGATGTTGGGTAGTACACATGCATGTTGCATTTGTATGTTGGGTATTGTATACGCATGCATTTGTATGTTAGATGTTGTACATACATGTGTATGTACATTCGATATTATATATGTAGGCGTATGTATGTCGAATATTGTATATGCATACATTTACATATTAGGTGGTGAATATGTATGATATGTTTGTATGATGCGTAGCATGTTCATAATGTATTTGTATGTTAGATAACGTGCATATACGATCCACCTACAAATTGGATGGCCATCAATGCATTTGCAAAATGTTGTCGCACAATTGACGATATACATACGTGTTGCTTAGTATGCTTGTTGGGTAGTGCACATGCATGTTGCATTTGTATGTTGGTATTGTATATGCATGCATTTGTATGTTGGATACTGTATGTGCATGTGTATGTACGTTGGATATTATATATGTAGACATATGTATGCCGAATATTGTATATGATTACATTTATATGTTAGATGGTGCATATGCATGGTATATTTACATATGGTGCATTATGTGTTCATAACGAATTTGTATGTTGGATGGTCATCGATGCAGTTACAAAATACTCTCGCACAACCGACAGTATACATATGCATTGCTTAGTCTGCTTGTATAGTACACTTGTATTTGTTGATACATGTTGAGTAGTACACATGCATGTTGCATTTATGTGTTGGGTATTGTATATGCATGTATTTATATGTTGGGTATTGTATATGCATGTATTTATATGTTGGTATTATACATGTATGTGTATGTGTGTTAGGTATTGTATATGTAGGCATGTGTATGTTGAATATTGTATATGCATACATTTACATGCTAGGTAGTGCATATGCATAACATGTTTATATATGGTGTGTTGTGTGTTCATAATGTATTTGTATGTTGGATAATGTGCACACATGATGCACTTGCGGGTTGGATGACCATCGATGCATTTGCAAAATGCACTCGCACAATCGGCGATATACATATGCATTGCTTAGTGCGCTTGTATAGTATACTTGTATGTCACAGGTGCATTTGCACAACACACTCAGGAGACACATATGAGCAATTTCGTATTGATGATTTGATGTGTCCCACACATTTTAGCAAACGAGCCGTGCAACCCATAACGCACAATAATATGCTAGTTTTTTTAAGGCATACATTCATGAGGTGTATAACATGTTCACGGGACGCATACGAGTCCCTTTTTTTGAATACATGTCTCTGACGTGGTGATTGATCGCACAAGCACTATGTCCTAGGAGAACAAGTGATTTTTATATTTTCAAATTACTCACATCTTTCATTTAGGCACAGTAACACTCACATAGGGTATTCGATGCAAGTGCATTGAAACTATCTCTCAGCATGCCTTTCGCATGCATGTCTTTTGTCTTTTTGTGTTTGGATTTGAGCTCGGTGAGCCCCATAGAGGAATCAATTCTTATATTATAAATAGGGAGCCCATTTGACTTAATTTATTTTTATGCATTTCATTTTGCAAAGGTGTTGGTGAGGGACTTGGATGTGTGCATAAATTTTAGGGGCTAAGAGAGAGGACTATATTTCACATTTGTTGGTGAGTGTTCAAGTTTCCTGTAAGTCTTCTGTAAGTTTAATTTTGACTTTTTTTTTATTTTAGTTCTTTTTAAATTATGATTTCATGCTTTTTTTGGGTCAATTTTCAATTTTTTTGCCCCTTAAAATTTAACTTAAGCTCCTCATGTCGATCCAAATTTTGGTAGTAGTCCGACGTTATCCCCTTGTAGAAGGTTGCATCAGGGAGTGTTGGGCCTTCCCACCACAACAAGAAAGATGTGCATGGTTGGTGTCAAGTGACACTGTGACCGTAGAGAGAGAAAGTAGATGAGAGTGTGGGAGAGGAAGGAGGTAGGGCATAGAGAGAGAAAATGAAATCTCTTTTTTAGAGAGAGAATATGAGCTCTCTTTTTTAGAGAGAGAAATAATTTTATCTCTCTAAGGGCTATTTTGGATGCAGGATTTAGGCTAGATTTAGGCCAAATTTGAGCTAAATCTTGCCAAACACCAAAAAATACAAAGTTACATCTCACAGTAAGTTTAATCTTTTGCTTCACGACATTTTAACCATTTTTGTCGTAAATCTCAGATTTCTTAAATTCGGCTTTTTCGGATTTTGTAAATCCGAACGAAGAAGTGTTCGAAAGGGGAGAAATATTGTTACCTTCACGGCAAACTCCGACGCGCTTCTGATCTGACATGAACAATGTCGTCGAAGGAGGTGGACAAGCTTCGACTCTTTAAGAACTCTACTTCATGCGAAGCAGAACAACAACGAATAAATGTAGAAAAGAAAAAGCAAACTCTAGAGAGGCAATGGCAAGCGACTCGTTCAAAGCTCTACCCCACATGAACCAGCGAAGCTAAAGAGGGAAGCTCCATCTCATTCGAATGTCAACGAAGAAATTGGATCCGCTATGAGGATTAGATTAATTCTTAACTTCTTAATTATGTATTAATTTAATTTAAAATATAAAATTTTAATTAGTTGATTAGTATTGTAAATATTAATTAAATAATTAGTTAGTAATAAAAGAACGAAATAATTAATTAGATAATTATAAGTAGAATTAGTAATTAAAAATTTATCAAAATAATATATAAAAATTAATGAAATAATTAGTGTAAAAAGTAATTAAATGATTAATTATTTTAAAAGTTTTTTTATGTCTGCTTGGATTTACTTAATCAGGTCACCGGTTGCGGATGCAAATTCAAAAGGTATGGTTTGTGGTCTAACGCTAGACAGAAGTGAGAGACAGTTGGCCCTTCTTTACCTTGCCACAGTTCAGGGAATTGCTTATGGTACACGTCACATTGTGGAACAATGCAACTCTCATGGGCATAAGGTATGAATTTCTTAATACCGTTGGATATGCTAACATATGTTGATTTTACCTTTTCTTATATATGATTCTTCATGTTTGACAAATTTTGTTTAACTACTGCAGCATTGACAATCCTCATGTAATGGGATAAAGGCTTCATGTTGTTGTTATTGTTGTATTGCAGCATTGACAAGTCATATCACATTATTTGTTTTTTGTTAAATTTTCTGTGAAATTTATATTCCTATTCCTTTATTGAAACAAATGGAATGGACTCCAGAATGACTATGATGCTAGCAGGATTTTATTGAAAACCACTCCAGGAGAGGCTTCTCTGGCCTTTTTTTGTGGCGGAGACTGCTTCTTTTCAAGTTTGGCAGTTTAGGCGTTCTAGCAAGGAAATGGGGATTCGCTTCTATACAGTTGGTCTTAGTTTCAAATATTAGTATATTTTGTGAGGAGAGGGTTCAGTTTTATCAGTTTATTCTGATAAAAGTTTATTGCAGTGTTGAAAAATGAACCTTTATATACTATTCAGAGTTTGCTTGTAGATGTAGTGTACTGCAACATGCAGCATATTTTATCATTCTCCAAAGGAACCTGCTTTCTACTCACCAACTTTGCTTGTAATTGTCTGTGAACCAGTTTACAATTTGGTTATATAAGTTCATTTTTCTTAAATATTATTGGAAAGGAAAACAATTAGTGGTATGCCTATGTTTAGTAAAATGATACGCGAGACTCGAACCCAGGGCATCTAATTTGGGAGCAAAACTCCCAACCAACAAACCAAAAGAGCTGCGTTAAAATGCATATCTGATATTATCAAAAGCTTAAGTAATAAATGCAATTTGTTGTGGATAGGATTTGTTTTCTATCATTTTCTACTCATCTGCTCATCTTTTGACTACCCTAGTCAAACAGTATGATCCAAAATTATTATTATTATTTTTTAATGGATTGACGTTGTATGGTGATGACAATGGTTCCTCCATTTCCCTTGTATATAATTTTGAAAGTTTCTGTCCATCCGCAGATTGACACACTCCTTGCATGTGGTGGATTAGCCAAAAACCTACTGTATATCCAAGAGCATGCAAATATAGTTGGTAAATCTGCTCATCCTCTTATTTCTTTGGCCTAAATAAATAATAATGTTATATTATAACCTGCATAAATTTCAGGTTTCCCTGTCATTCTCCCGAGGGAAAATGAGTCCGTGCTTTTGGGTTCTGCCATTTTAGGAGCCGTTGCTGCTAAAAAATACCCCACCCTTCATGATGCGATGAGTGTGTTAAATGCTGCGGGTCAGGTAATTTAATGCTTATGTTTGGGTTACTACCATGGTCAAATGCAACTGTTGAAGCTTTCACGCATTGCCTATTTACAAGTTCATTGAATCCATGATCTAAAAGTTAATTGATAAATAGTTTAGAGTGCAAGCTTGGACATGGCTGCCCTGTTTCTTTTGACTGAATATCTTTGTCCATCTTCCTGTGCTAGATCATTACTTCTTCTAATCAGCTCTTAATATGGTTTTTTCTTGCAGTAACAATCCTATTTTAAATCTACTATCATCATGAATATCATTAGTCTTATCAGAACTATTTGGGATTGGCTCTATAAATTTTCATTTTCCAGCTTTTGTTGAGTGGTGCTATTCAACATATTCTTCACAAATTGTTCTTTTCCTTTCTAATCTTTTGACCGTTTTTTCTACCCATTTGATGAGTATATTTTCTTTCTTTTGTTGCATTTCAGTAACTCCATATTTGTTTTATTAATTTTAAGTCATGTACCTTTTAAACTTTTTCTCCATTATTTTAAGTTCTCAATTATTCCAGCAATTGTCTCACTGGCTATACCTATATTATTTGCGAAAATTATACAATATGATACCTCATTTTAAATATCCTACATACGAATCTCTATAATCAAATGCGGAAGAATATCGACTCAATGTTGGTCCTTGATATAATCACACTGTAGTTGAAAACTATTTCATCACTCTAAATTTTATATAATTAGCTGGTGTTTGTCATATGTATCTTTAATACTTTCAATATATTTTAACACATCTTGTCTTTAATGTTAAGAAAGATAGAAGTAGACCTAAAAAGACTTTGACGGAAAGAAATGGTCTTTTTTTATTAGATTTAAATGAGAATTTGACTCTTGACAGGATATAATGAAAAAAAAAAATACATATAGTCGACCCCACGTAGTGGGATAAAGACTTGATGTTGTTATTATTGTTGTTTTTGTATCTTCTTTAATGAATACTAAGGTTTCATTTGGGACGGCTTTTTTAATGTTTCTTATACCAACTTTTTTAGTACAAAAATTACAATTTTTGTACTAAAAAATTTATTTTAAGAAGCAACAAAAAAGTCGTCCCAAACGAAACCTAAATCAGCTCTCATAATGCATGATCATGTCTTTGCATGACCATAAAAATCATGTGAAAATTTATTCTTTAAATCATATTTTTTGGTTAATTGTCTAAATATAATAATTTTCTTCATGATAGGTTTTTCGGCCATGAAATGAACTTTATTATTCAAAATTAACATATTTTTTTCTAAACTCATGTTCTATTACTCTCATTGCTTTATTATATGGCGACTTCTTTGTAATTAGCATAACCTTAAACATCTCATCTATTCTTAAATATTTATATAAAAATATTTTTTTCATCATTTGACATTCTCTCAGATTTCAAAATCTCACTAAAAAAAACATGTTAACCAAACTTATACAGTTTCCTCACAACTCTTTAAATTTCAGTAAAAAATCTCATTTATTTGGGATTAAAATTCTGGATAATTTTTTTTTTTTCTCAAGCTAACACGAGTTCATTAATCATTATTAAATATACTAACATGGATTCTAAATTGTGGCATGGCAGGTTATCAATCCTTTGGAGGATCCAAGAGTGAAGAAGTATCATGATATCAAGTACCGGATTTTCCGATCTCTCTATGAGCAGCAACTTTCCTATCGATCCATGATGGCTGAAGCCATGCAGCAGCAATATAAGGTATAGTGATTTCTGCCTCCTTTCAATTAATCAAGTAATGTGGCAGCAATAAGAGTGTTGGGCTGCCTTCATTTGTTGCAAATCGCTTATGTTAACCATTTTTTTCCTATTGCTACGAATTAAGACTAAATGTTATCATATTGATGTTGAAATAAAATTTGACACTTTGTTAAGCTGTAGATTTAGGCCTCGTTTGGTTCCCCAACTTTTTTTCATTTTTAAACAGAGGTATTAGGACAGAGAAGCAGGATTTTTTTTCTTTCAGATCGGCGAAAATGCAAAAATGTAGCAAAAGGTATTTCGAAAAAGTCGGGTAAACAAACAATAAAATAATAAAATTTTCACCGATAATTACGGCCAATCAAACGAGGCCTTAGGGTTATATTTCGGATAGTATTCTACTTGTTTTGCAAAAATCTCTTTGATGGATGTATACCTGTGTATGCGGAATCACCATTTGGATGAGTTGCAGGAATTGAGACAATTTGCTAAAGAATTGTAGGTCATGCTAACTCGTCTCAGAGGAGCTCACCTTAGAGGAGCAGTATTGAGAGAGGCACTTAACCCCAAAAGTGTCAGGAACTGAGAGACTTAGGTTTCCTTTGGGACGGTTTTTTTATTGCTTTATATAACGGAGTTTTAATACATATTTTTTAAAATTTGTAGCAATAAAAAAGCCGTTCCAAACGAAGCCTTAATAAAAGAGATGCTCATTTATCCTAACTCATCCATAATCTCACGATCTCATCAAGAGGCTCAAATTAATGAAGCGGAAACAGACGGTTGAACATTTGACTAGATTTTTAATTTATAACTAAGTATTTCTGATAAGCAAAAAGCTACTAAAACCTCAAATTAGAAATAAATTAAAATAAAATTGTTTAAATATCTTTCTTCATGTGCGCCACACTTATCTCGATACATATTTTTACATTTTTTATTCATCTTGATTATATTAAATTATATATGAAAAGTGTTAAAGCAATATAAAATAAGTTAAAGCTCAGCAAGTAAAACATGCTTCTAAATTATAGTAACTCAAGACAATTGGAATAATATGCATTATCCCTTTTTTCATTCTATAAAATATCACTTCATTAAATTTAATTTATCATTTCCTCTTTAATTTATAAAACTTAATATTTTAAAACTTTTTTTAATTTTTAAATAAATTTTAATTCTTAAAAATAATCATCGAATATTTTACTAATTAAGATGTCCTCTCAAATATTGCTAGTTAAAGCACTTAATTGTTCTTATATTTAATATGTTCCTAAAAATACTCATTTTATCACTAAACTTTATTAAATTAATAATAAAATTTATTCTCCTCTTCTAGGTGTAAAGTATTATTTAATTATTACTATTTTCCAAATTAAAATTTTATATTAGTTCATTTATAATTTAATCATATTTCTCTTACATATATACTAACTCTATTAAATAATAAAACATTGTTATATTCAATTAAGATTCACATCAAATTGACATCTCTTAAAAGATTATTTGCTAAAGTCACTCCCTAAGCCACTCAACAGATGCGCGAGCTTGCCAGAGGTGTCTTAAGGCTATATTAGAGATAGTTGTGCATGTAAAGCCATAAACTTCTATTCATATGTTTTTAACAATCAAATTAAATAATATTTTATTACTCATTAGATGTAACATCTTATTTAATTTTTTTAAATCTATAAATACAGGGTTTAAAGTATTAGACTATTATTTTGATCTTTCATGGAGTATGAAATTCTAGAACTCTTCTTCTTACTCGCTCATCTCTCATTTCTATTGCTCTATTTTTTTAGTTACTCTTACGAGTAGGGTTAGAGTGCCCTTCATAGACAAATTTGTATAACATTCCGAAAAGTAAAGTGAGCACATAATTGACGCTATTAACTAAGAAAAAAGCACTATGAGAAGTAAAGCAATGTGATAGGGAGAGATCAATCAATATAGAGAACCAAGACTTCACAACTTACTGTTAATTGGTGGAGATGGATGAGAGGAGCACTTGGATGATCCAAGGAGTATGCATACTAGAGGTTTCCTCGAACTCAATGATCCAAAGGGTGCGATATAGTTCCAGGGCATTGACCCCAACACATGGCATTGATGAGACTTTCTATCCCAATGCCTACTATGTAAAAGTTATGGGAAAAGTTATAAATGTGTGGAAAGAAGTGATAGCTCTAAGTAGAGAGAGTAAGATTAGAGACTAATGTGCTAATTGAAGAAGTCCTAGTTGTTGAGATTGTGATATGCCCAGAATCTAAATTTGAAAATTTATTTTTTTAATAAATAATAATCAGAGCTATTTAATTTCTTTTATCAATCTAAATAGTAATAGAAATAAAATTATTGATCAAAATATCAATATGCACTTTTATATTTATTTCTCCAAAAATCATTTACAATATTTAGGATCTATATAATCATATCATAAATATTATGTCCTGGTTTAAAAAAATAACTAAAATAAAAAAGAACAAAACCTAAAGAATCCAGCTTCACACTCTTGATCCTTTGCCATGACCTGAAATCATTTAATCACATATAATGAGCTAAAAAATCTAATAGGTTATCAAAACTTACGACTAAATTCAAAGCATGATAGAGAATCAATATGCATGATAGCAGTCAAATCATAACAATTACATTCATATAATCATTTAATAAGTGCATAAATAGTAAAATTATATAGTACATAAGACAATAAATCAGTATTGATGTCAAATCACTAATTCAATTGTTATAGCAATATTACAATCAATAGAAAAATAATATAAAACGATAAAATTAAATCACCGATAAATATAATTAAAATCAAATCAATATAGTAAAATTATATAGGAGTATACACATGTTATCTAGTTATTCTATATGAATACTAAATCAATATCTTAATCACATATTCAGTATATCATATATATCACGTGCTCAATGTATAAATCATGTTTTTTGTATCAATGAATTAGTATCAGTGTTAATAATAAATTCACACACTAATAGGAATAATGCCTCAATAATATGCATTTCAGTAGTCACATTACACAAGTAAGAATTCTGGATGTCACGGTGTTTTTTAGTATCGTATTAGTATCTATAAACTATTGGCTCAGTAAACATAGTCGTCACTCTTTGTCCATTGACACAGTAATCATTTTTTATAACTTACAATCAGTGTATCATATGAATCAGTCTAGAATAACAACAAATCACATATTTAAAGGAAAGCTTGTTACCCACCATCTTGTACAGATCAATCAGTCTCCAACTAATGGGTCAAACAGTATTTACTTGTATTTTACACATATTATTATGACAGTACTATAAAAGTAATATCTATAATATATCCACAATCATTTTTAATATATTACAACAAATAAAATATAATTGTGCTTAATTCAAGAAGTGTCAAAATATCCAAAAGGAAGACAATGAAAACTATATTAAGTAAAAATTCACATTTTTTAGAATTTAATCAAATTATCATATATAATATAAAACACCATTCTAAAGCTTTAGTTGAACTAAATAACTATTTTATACTTCAAAATAAAATTTTAAATTGACAAAATTATTATATTTTCAAAATCACATTGTAAAAAATCTCAAATAAATACGTTAAATATTCATAATCTCAAGCCCTACAACATATAAAAAGTTATACGAAGAAAACTTAACCAATACAAAATTATCGTCATTTTTTGATAGAGAAAATACAAGTTTGATAGAAAAAATATAAAAACACAAAATTCTTGAAATCAGAAATAGGATAATTTATTACAACTAGTTGAGCAAAATTTTTAACATGCTTGACAGACGAAAATCACTCTACGACCTCTAAATCATAATCTATTTTTTATCCTCACATTCTCTCTTAAAATCTCAAATCATTTCTCTGCTATGCTGTTTGGATGGTCAAATCGATTTTCCAAATAGATACGTAATGATTCCAAAATTCTGGCTTGTACCAATAAGTGTCAATTTCTTAAGAATTTACACAAGTGCCCAAAATTATAGAAAAATTTATGTAATTAAAGCATTACAATATCAATGTTATGGCGTAAATAGTTTTCAAAATTGACTTTTAATGACTCCAAAGAAAAATATTTAACTAAGTCAAAATACAAGCTATTACAATCCACCCACTTTAAATGAAATGTCATCTCAGACATTTTCCTTAAGAACTCGAGGAAAAAATTGGTATAAATAAAATTTGTATGATTAAAAGTCAAATCAAATTAAATTCAAATAAAAAATCATCAAAGGATTCACATCGAATAAGTATTCATTATCTATCATACAATCATGTAATTCATTCAATCAGATGTCATTTATATCTATGTTTGTTTTTCCAAAAATCATGTAAACTACGTAGAATTTATACAATCATATCATAACTACTCTATCTTGAGTATAAAAGAATAAGAAATAAAACTTGAAGAATCTTAATCAATCTTACACTTCTGATCTTTTATCTTGAATTAAAATCATTTAATCACATATAATGAGCTAAAAAGTTTAACAGGTCACCAAAACCTATAACTGAATTTAAAATATGGTAGATAACTAATATGTATGTCAGCAGTCAAATCATAATAGTTATATTCATGTGATAATTGAATTAGTGCAAAAATAATAAAATTATATGATATGTAAGACAATAAATCAATATGGGTGTCAAATCACTAAATCAATCATTATATCAGTACTATAATTAATAAACAAATTGTATAAAATAATAAAATTAAATTATTAATAAATACAATCGAAATCATATCAATATAGTAAAAGCATATAGAGATATACACATACTATCAATTTATTCTATATTAATATTAAATCAATATTTTAGTCATATGTTTAGTATATCCTATATATCATGTGCTCAATGTATATATCATACCTTTTATATTAATGAATCAATATTAATATTAATAATAAATCTGTACATTAATATGAATAATGCCTCAATAATATGTATTTTAGTAGTCACATTAAATAAGTAAAAATTCTGGCTATCATTGTATTTTTCAATATTATATCAGTATCAATAAATCATTGGCTCAATAAATAGAGTATTCACTCTTTGTCCGTCGACAAAATAATCAGTTTATTATAACTCCTAATTAATGTATCATGTGAATCAGTCAAGAATAATATCAAATCA